TGTTGTTGTTGTTATGATTCCTCTTCTCCCACAAACGCACACACGCAAGTAGGGTGAGAAAAAGGGGTGTCTACCACCACCACCCCACTAATAACGTACTTCTTGTCTCTGTGTGGACGATGTCTGTTCGCCGCAGTGGTTCCTGCAACAACGTTAAAGCCCTACGCGGTATCCCGCCCCCACCCACCAGCCCAACCACACTCTTTTTGGCGACGCCTTTCGCCCACACCGGAAATGTCACTTCCCAAAATATAAATAACGCACTCAGAGAGAAAGAAAGAAAGAAAGAAAGAAGGGGAAAAGAAAAGACAAACACAAAAGTCCATCAGTGAGTGTACCAAAAAAAAAAAAAAAAGACAGCCCGATTCTCAAGAATGTCAAAAAAATATATATAATTAAAAAAAAAAAAACTGTGGATTCACAACACTGCATTCATGAATACCCTACAAAAAAAAAGAGAGGAGGGGAATAAAGAGGGAATGTGAAAAGGAAACATGGAAGCAGAGCTGCGCTACCATAACGATCCCATCCATCCCTTCGTCGTGCCATCACCCCACAACAGCGTTGCAGTGAAGGAAGGTGTCACAGGCTCTTTTCCACCTGCAGACGCAGCCGGTGGCAATGAACCATCCCCGCTACCAACATCTGCAGCGCCACATGACGATGTCGCCCCTCCTCTTCCTTCACTGCCGCCTCTTACCTTGAGGTTGGAGTGCGTTCCCCCCACCGACGGGATGATGGAAGGGGCGGTGGTGGCCAGCGGGAGCAGCGGGAAGCGATCTCGCTCCTTGGGGGTAGCAATGGCCCCATTGAACAATGGTGACTGGTGTGGCTGCATGTTCTCTGTGGCGCTCTGGGCATTGCTCCCTGCTACGTTCCACACCTCCGCTGCGGCTGCGGAGCACCACGAACCAAATGAGAGGGTCGTCGCCCGTAATAACCGCGCACTAGCAGATTTCACAAACGGGGCGGTAAGTGACCATGTGACGGGATCCACTCGGCTCTCAATCGCCTGCAGGACCGCCGCGGTGGATGAATTGGACACCTTGTCCGGTGAAGTGAAAAGCCCAGTGATAAACAACACATCAAAGTACAATTGCAGCAGCGCCTCGTCCTTTTCATCATCGTCATCCGTGTCATCTTCATTCCCCTCTGTGTCGTGGCTGGCTGCCGAATTCACCACACAACCAGCCTGACGGCTGCGGGCTGGAAAATCACCATCTCCACCAGCATTGCTGTTCGCACTGTCGTTTATGTGTCTCTTGTCCTCCGCCAGAGATGGCAAGACAAAACTCAAAAGGGCGGATGACGTGCCGTCAAGCAGCTCGCGTATAACAATCGGAAGCACCGTCTCGCGGAGGCGCTGCCCCGCCCCCACGGTGTACAGAACGTGCTGCAGAGAAAACAAAAGCTCCGCAACATGTGGCGTGAGATGAATTGGGTACGCTACCGGTTGCTCTCCCTTTTCCTCCTCACGCTGCTGGGGCTGATGCGGATGGCGACAAAAGTCATGACACCAACATGCCGCATATCCCAGAGTGTATCGTCGTGCAGCCAACGATGGGGCGACTGCATCCACCGTGGGGACCCTGACAGCCGCCCACGCCTCCCTGTATGCCGCGCAGAGTCCGCTTTCCCACTCGCGACGTAAGAGTTGCACCCATGGCATGTGGCAGGCAATGACAGTCCCACGAAGTTCCTCCCAAAGCGCCCCCGCCGTGTTTGATACCGCCGGTGTCGTCTCCAATACACACAAAAGCACCTCCACAAGCAAAGAGAGACGATGAAAAAAGACCATCATGGCCGCACACCGTTCAAATGATTCTCCCTCGTCTTCTTGCTGCTGCTGCTGCTGCTGCTGATATGCCTCCTTTTCTCTTCGCATCATATCCTGTACGCGCCCCAGAGCACCTGAAATCCATGCCGTAATGAGATTATGAACGGGCGTCTGTGCCACAGCACACAACCTCTCGGAATCAAAAATACGTTGAAGCATGTACAGTAACACGCTGCGCTCAAACACGGCGGATTGATCATCATTTAAGACAATCTTTCTCTCCATACGCCCAGAATACAAAGGAAACATACACATGATTGCCTTTTTCTTTTCCTCCATGTGGTTACCATTATTCCCTTTCCTCACATTTGTATTCCCCTCCCCTCTTTTTTCCTCTTCTTTACCCCCCTCGTTCTCACCATCATCATCATCATCATCATCATTATCATCATCGTCATCTACAAATAACATCTCTTCTTCCTCTTCAAAAGCCAATACATGTTTTTCCCCATCCATCATGGCCGTAAACGTGTCAGAAAACACGCATCCCTTTGAAGAAGTATCTGAGATGAAGTTATGAGGGTTATTTGTGTACAATTGGCATGTGTCTTGTGTCTTTCCCTCAAAAGATGCCGTTTTGGAACGCGACCACACACTCTGAACCACGGCACGCGCAAGAAGAGCATTTATCGTCGCACTCTCCTTCCCAGAGCTGCGCATACGTCCTTCCGAGTTGGCAGAAGAAAAAACAGATTCATTTCTGCAGCCGTCACTGCAGTGAACCGCAGCAATAAGTCGACTCGCAAAAAAAGAGCGAGACAGGAGTCGCTTGGAAAACTGCGATGATGTGCCAGGCTTCGTTGTCGTGACGGCATCCGTTTCAACATACGGCCGGATTGATGGCGATGGCGATTGATGGTGGGCATGACAACTCCCTTCTACACGGATGGATTGCAAAATGGCATTCCAAACAACATCTGCCTTTCTCAAACCGGCACCAACAGCCCTCACAAGCGCACGCTCCGTCGTTTTATGCACCATCTCTGTCCACAACGCGTCTTCAAAAAGAAGAACATTTTGCCGGTGACTTTCACAAAGCCACTTTTGCATTCGCGTGGCCTCTTGAAGTGCAAGTCGCTCCTGCAGGGCCACAAGACGCGGGCTGCGCAGAAGACCCGCATCCGCGACACAACCCAACAACTGTGACACGGTCTCTTGGACAATCCTTAACTTCCTGCTGACATCCTCACATTTCCACCCCAACGCGGCCGGTAAATTTTTATGGTCGCTGCCGGAATCAACGCCGCAAAACCTCTTGGCGGGTTTCCGTCCTTGAAGAAGCTTTGGGTCAAGAAGTTGCATTCCGCACACCTGACGCATCACCTCACGAATATAGATTGTTCGCAAATGCGTTCGCTTGGGTGCATTGAATCCACCCGGAAGAAGTATGCCCATCGCTGAATTCGATTCACTCAATGAAGCATCTCCGATCTCCTCCGGGGCACTAAGAAGAGAACTGGACAATGCACCACGTGCAGAACTCCCACCCATACGGCTTGACATGCGGTCGCTGAATTCCAATAGGTCTTTGCTCCCGTCTTCTTCCTGCTGCTTTTGCCGCTCTTTTTGTTCTTTGGCAACCAGTCGTCCACGAAGTGTCAGCAGTGTCTGCAAAGAACGTTGCTGTCTTTTGTAATTCCCATATCCATCCACATCCTCCCTATCATTTACCCCGTCATCATCATCATCCCCGCCATGATGCTGCGACAAGGGCCCTTTTTCAGCATCCCGCCCATGTTCATAGAGACGTGGCAGCACCGACGCAACGTAGGCAACAAGATGGAAAAACAACTGTTGTGCGCGCTGTAGAATATGTAAGGCAATGACTCCATTGCTCGCCTTACAGTTGGATCGACTGGCTACAGATGCAACAGGTTGACTACTGTCCGTCGTCGTCGCTGAGGTAGTAATACCTTTCCCCACACTATGTGCTGCCTCCATGGAGAGTGGTATCCATGCAGTAGAGAGCGGCGAATTTGCAGCGTCGTCAAGGAGCCACATTGGCAACGGCAGAGCAACACGCAGCCACTCCATCTTTCCAGATGACTGTTTAACGGTATTCGTCGTCCCACATGCACTTTCACTTCCCCTCTTCCTCTTATTCCCCCCATTGATCGCCTTTAATATTAGCTGAAGCTCATCGTTAATCATGGCAGACACAAGTTCAATAAGATGTTGCAGAGCCAATGCTTCAGGTGCGGTGTCAATAATGCCCAGTGCCGCATGAGCCTCCGCCATGTGCGCCAACACATCCGTCAGAAATTCGTCTCCCAAAGTTACACTATCCGCCGTCGCATTCGCCGTCGCGTGCCGCTGGGTCTCCCTCATACTCCCACCACCTCTCACTGAACGTTTTGTTGCAATAGCATTTGTCACCGTCCGTTGGGCCGCATCATCCGCATCCTTGCGAAGTAACTCACGAATTCCCTGCCGAATGCGGCTTCTATACGACTCCAGCAACAATCGCCACTGTTCATGCTGTTTGCCTTGCCCCTCTGACAAAATGGAGGCTTGGAACTCCACTGTCGTCGTCATACTTTTTACTGCAAGTCTCTTCTCGCACTCTAACCCATCCATTAGCTCATGCCAGACGGTGGCCGCCTTCTGCACCTGCTGCGACCCCAGCAACCCTTCAATTGCAACGCACCGCTGTTGAAACACTAACCGGTCACACGGTGCTGAACTCAATGCGTCTGCTTCATTCCGCCCCGCCTCCTTCCCTTGTGTTTGACCTTCCACGACAGCCTCAAACAGGCATCGCACTGGCGTCGCCTCGGAGGGCGCGGAATGAACACCTCTTCGTGAAAAGATCCCCCGCTCCAGCACGTCTCCAGGGCTCTGGGGCGACAATGTCAGTTGCTGCTCCGTATGCAGTTGTTTCTGCATCTGCAGCAACTTCCTGCATGTTTGTTCCATCCCCACCACCTTGTCACAGGCCGCAATAAGGTCGCGATAACTTTGCCCAACAATCTGCTTGAGCCGGTAGTCACTCTCCTGTATGCCGCGGGTGATGGTGCTGAGATAGTCCCGGACCTGCTCAACGGTGTTATTCGTGAAGATGCGTCGCACCTCCTGCACCGCCTCCTCAGAAGACATCCTGCAACTCTCTAATAATGGATGCTTCTTCCCTCCTCTTCTTTTTCTTCTTTTTTTT